CATTTACATGGGGTACATTTTACTTTTACCTGTTGTGTCAACAAGTGATTTTAAAGAGTGTTCCTCAAGTGCTAAAGTGGATGATGCAAACTGTGAACAAGTATATGCTATTGTAGAAAGATGTGTATGGACCATTGAGTAAAATCATTAGGGATACATTCATTACTATTTTAAACACTATATTAAATTTCAGCGGCCACTTTACGTGTTTATTTTCATATTTTATTTATTTTCCTTTTTGATGGGTTCATAATTGATAGGTGAACAGATCTGACAGCTGTGATCCATTAAGGAATAGTCTGGTAATTAAGCTGGGTTGCAATAGTCCCAAGAGCTTCCTGGAACTAAAACATTTGAGCAATAATGACATTCTTTGATTGAAATATCCCAAAAATCTGTAGCTACTGTTTCTAAATTGGGCGAGTCTTTTTCCTTAGCCTTTCAGTGGTTTATATCGTTATCTAGGAAATCTGCCTTGGTAAGTTCTAAGGTGTGAGATAGTGCTAAAGAATGAATTTTAAACATATACTGAAAGTGAAAATAAGTTAAGTGATATTTTTCGTCAACTACTGCAATCACTAACTAGATATAAAAGTTTATATCTTGGAGAATCTCACATGAGTTTTTCTTGAGTTGTGAATTAGTTCTGATGGTGTAAAATCTGGAGTTTCAAACAAGAAAATTCTTTCAAGTGGAAACAAAATATATTTAGCTATAGCCATAATTAAATAATCGTATTATACATACACGCTCAGCAGTTTGTGTTGCGGTTACTAGATAAGTTAATAAAGTTATCTAGTGCTTACTAATAAGATGGAGCAGAACAACAAATATAGAGTATTTGCCTGCCTATAGATTGCTTTATCACTTTGAGTAGATATAGGTAAGAAAAAGCCTGAATGTTTTTTTCTTCTTCAAAGCTGGCTACTATGGGCGCTATGAGTGTCAAAAAGTCATTACTTTGCATTTTTGCACTACATCTGAAAATGACTAAATATTGTTTGTTAACTCCTTTTGCATTGCCAACAGCAATGTGTGAAAGGTTATACAGGGGTCTCTTTTAAACCCCTGTATTGCTAACTATAACTATGTGTTGAACAGAGCAGGATTTACCATAAGTCAATCGTAGGCGGCTGCCTAGGGCCCAGGGTTTAGATATTTACCCATTTGCCATTCCTATGTGAAGAATTAATTGGGGGCCCCAAACTGGCAAACTGCCTGAACTGATAAACTTAATAATAACATGTGTAAATGTGACCCAAGTTAAGATAACTATAACAGTCAATTCATGTGATTTTCTTTTAGTAGCCAATGCAAGTATAATGTTGCCATAGGCAATGAAAGCCAGAAAACCAGATGTTGCAATAGATATTGAAGGCCATTATTTCACAAGGACATTGGCATTGGACTATGATGTTGCTATTCTTATTCCTTCTAAAAGTTGCCAGAGAACCCCTGGAGCCAAGTGTAAATTTTACATCAAGAGGATACAATATCATGTAATTTTATAATTCTGCAAGTGAACAAGTCAGCCTTCAGAGTACAAATTCTTACATGATGTTCCTGATAAGCCCTCATTCGAAGTGCTTAAGATCTGAGTGTTCAGATCATCTTATATGACATCACTGTGTAAATTAAACATTTCTTACAAACCCTATTTTAATATGTTTGTTCAATAAATCATAATAATTTTCTAACAATGGACTAACCCATTCAATCACATTATCAAAAAAAAACATTAAAACCAGTCTGTAAATATCTAAAGATACTAAAATTTTTATAGCATTATTCAAATACACTTCACTCTTAGAAACTATACAGACTATTAACTATGTAATTCTGAAAAAGCATTTCATGTATGAGATTGGTGATGTGCGAAGCTCTTGTGAACACATTTTCAAGTTGATTTTGTCCATTCAAAAATATGGAGTTTTTGTAAATCTATTTTGAAATATTTTATAAATAAAGTATAAAAAAAGAAAGGTATGCTATTTATGCTTTTGGTTCAAAAGCAGTGTCTTTAACCCCTTAAGGACCAAACTTCTGGAATAAAAGGTAATCATGACATGTCACACATGTCATGTGTCCTGAAGGGGTTAAAGGACCACTATAGGCACCCAGAACACTTCAGCTTAATGAAGTGGTCTGGATGCCAGGTCCAGCTAGGTTTAAAGAGAAGGAGAAACTGTGTTACAGAGGCGCTTATAAATTGTGAAAAACAGTATAGAAGAATGCTACAACACTCTTGTGGGGGTCCCTCGCACCCACCTCAAATTAAAAGAACTGTAAAAAAAGGTAGAAAAGCCGAAAGCAATTCACCTATATGAGTGGAGCATATAGTGATAATAACAGGCACCTACCTAACTTAAAGGGTCATCTGGTCCTAATGTTGTAATAAAATCACTTCCAATTCAGCATATATACAATAAAGAGAAAAAACATATACAGAAAAGATAATAGTATAAATCTGTATAATCATATAGAACTATATAGAAGTCTTGAGAAGTGCCAACTCACATATTTCAGAGCCCAAATAAGGATAGGCTCAAATCACTTGCGCTTTTTGGTACCGTCTGGTGGTACTATCCCCTCTCTTTTTGAGCACGTAGATATATTGCCTCAGAGATAAAATTTGCACAGGAGAAGGAAATATAGTGCAGTAACTTTGGATAAAGGTGAATCTGTTATATATATAAATGAATGCTCACCTTGTTTGGAGCCCAGTAATTGGCTCTAAATAATCAGCATAAGTGTCTAAATAAAGGGGACACCAACCCTTCTTGCAGCAGCTTCAATGAAGGTCAAAAGGAACTTAAATAAAAAATGTATAATTTATTTTGCCCACTGGCAAGGAAATAAAAAACATAAAAATATGTATAAAATCAAAGAGAAAATAGAACTGTCCCTTAAATGTCCTCCTTTTCCGAAACGCGTCCGAAACATACTTGTTTTCCTGGCACTATAGTGGTCCTTTAACATTTAAACATAATGGAGTCCTGTTTTAAGACAATATGGTATAAACAAGAGGGGAACAGGGCACATTTTGATAGGCTGCTTTGGGCCAATTCTACCTCTTCTAATAGATTTATTTACATTAAGAGGTCCTTACACAGATAATAAAGAAATTCGTTTTAATTTTTATGATGTCTCTGATTTAAAAAGTGGACGTTAGCCATGGGAATCCTCCTGAAAATAGTAAATAAAATCCAAAAGACACACTGAATGCTTTGTAGGACCTTCACACACTACTACGATGTTTAAGGTGCTTGGATTGCTATAAAAAGATACACTTTTGGGTAAAATTATAGAGATAATGATTTCAAAATTATAAAAAAAAAAAGAGAAAAAAAAGAAAAACCGTCACCCACATGCTCTATGGTTTCTAATCGTATTCTATGCATTCTTGGTCCAGCGGGACTTTATGGGATAAATTCAGTTCAAGTTTTGTGCAAGGCACATGCACAAGTTGGTCAAAATGTCCGCTGGCAACACAAAAATCTGGCTCTGCGTTGCCTGATTGCCCAACTTTTACAAATGTCGGCCATTCTAAACCACTCTTACAGCTGAGCATAGGTGAAGGAGGATCTGTGCACCAATGCCTTAATAATCAAAGTAGAGTTACCCTAAAATTATACATATTATTTACTGAGGTGTATGTGAATAAGTACTCTAGGCATCTAATGGTAATACATTTGAGAAGGGTAGAAAAATGAACACAGTAGAATAGGGTGAGTATGTTGTCCGGAACATGTTTCTGTGTTCGAAAGCTGACATGCGGATTAAACTCTTTTCCAATAAATAAAACATGCACATGTGGAAACTTTGAACCATGGTATGTAAGTATTCTACAGCAAGCTATCATTTTCCAGTTAAGAATCTCTTACTGCAGTTACATCCTGTGTGTGGGTTAAAAGTCAAGTTTTACCTTGACCAGCGCATCACAGTTGAGATACAGGGCCTAGAAGATATTGTCTGTCCTAAATCTTCTATATGTTGGCTTTTTCATTTTCTTATAGACTTAGCTTGCCCAAGTCAAGGTTGGTATTGGGCCGTAGTGTGCCCTATATGCCCTGAAGGAACAAACTCACTCTTCAAGCTCTAACTCTTATGAACCCATTACTAAGTTGAACAAATCTCTAGTCAAAAACCATTAATACTGGTTATTAAAACACTTAAGCACCTGGGTTTAAAAGAACTCATTGGATCCATCCATCTACATCCTTGAAATCCGAGCACCTAGATATATGGATTCACATGATATAATCTACTTTTTTTCGTTAGAAAAAATCCATCTAAATTAAGTAACCCACATGAGATGTCACGGTACCCCTTACTTATTTCCATGGCAGATATTATAAAAACAGATCTCCTTTAAAATATGAATTGCACCAAGTCTTTGGTGAAAAATAAAACTATTGACAATTGATCATTAAAACATTTTGGAGGTAAGATAGTCTTTACGTTGGATATGTTTAAATTTGCCATTTCAGCTTTTCTTATTTTACGCATTCCAGATTAATCGAATATGTGCCTTTCTTTCATATTCTGCACGTGCAGAATGAAAGTTATGCTTTTAAGAGGAAATTAATATTCTGAGAAGAAGGTTTATTGAGAGAACTATCCTGTTTGTTTTTCTTAACTAGAATATGAGTAAAAAAGACCAGTTCCATAAGGATTTCAAAAGAATTTAACCTGCGAAGCCCATAGCACAGATCAATGCTACTGGGCGGTTCTTTGATTTATGTATGGTATATATTGTAGTTGGGAATTTTCTTTCGTACAGATCCCAAAGGAGAGTATTCCTTTTACACTGTAAGAAGGTCATGATTCTGATGAATTTAAAAGGATATGCAAAAAAATGCTATTGGCTTATACTTTTACTGTGAATAGATTAAATGGTAAATCAATATAGAACTAAAGAGTTATATGTACCAAATAGTGATGTCGCGAACCGTTCGCGAACTTGCCACGAACGGTTCGCCGCAGTTGCAGCGAACTCCGGTCAGCTGACACATCCCTGCCAATCTCCGGCAGACCCTCCCTCCCAGACCCTCTCACCTCCTGGACAGCATCCATGTTGAAGCTGCCTTCAACATGGATGCTGTCCAGGAAGTAGGAGGGTCTGGGAGGGAGGGTCTGCCGGAGATTGGCAGGGATGTGTCAGCTGACCGGAGTTCCACGGCGAACCGTTCACGGCAAGTGGAAAAAAACACACACAAAAAAACAAATTTACCCTAGGTTTGTGATAAAATGGTAAATGAAAAGTGGCACTATGCATACAAATCCTGGAGGATGAACTTTCGACAAATATGTACTTTTTTGTAGCGGGTTTGGAGTCTATGACTACTGTTTAACTTGTAATCTCAGTATGCCAGATTTTGCAAAGTTTTAAAACCATAATTCACTTGCAGTATTTGTTTTATAACTTCTAAATATTAACCCGTTATTGCCGTTACGGCATTCTATGCCGTCCCCATTTAAAAGGGCTTTAAAGCCGTTGCGGCGGCATAGAACGCCGTAAGGGCTGCAGCCCCAGAGCGCCTGTGATACTTACCTTCAGGCACACCGCTTCGGGAAGATTGCCTGACAGCCCAGACAGCCCTCCCACGGCAAAAGAAGCCCCCAGGGGGATTTTTAGCATTTTTTAAAATTTTATTCATAATAAATTATGTTCCATATATGAATGTTAATAATAAATTAAAGCCCTGTTTCTCCTGAACAAAATTATATATAATAAGTGTGGGTGCACTTAATGTGACAGCAAGGAATTACGGTTGAACAGACATATAGCGCAAATTCCAGTTTTTGTTTACGTTTTGTTTTGATCAGAAAGTGCACTATTGACTCCGTCCTGAAGGGGTTAATTGAAATCCTGGAAAACTGGGCATTTTAACAATCAGGACTTTAAAAAGCTATATTACTTCACAGAGAGGTTAGTGGACGCATGAAATAGCCTTCCAGCTGAAGTGGTACAGGTTAACACAGTGAGGGAGTTTAAGCATGCGTGGGATAGGCATAAGGCTATCCTAACTATAAGATAAGGCCAGGGACTAATTAAAGTATTTAGAAAACTGGGCAGACTAGATGGGCCTAATGGTTCTTATCTGCCGTCACATTCTATTTTTCTGGAACTAATTAGTGAATCTATTTTGCATTAGGTTTCTTTACTTGCACTTGGTGTGTAGAAATTATTGCATGTAAAACTTAGAAAAAGATGTAATTATTTTGTTTCCAATCTTTCCACATTTTCTTCCCATTTGATTTTGTGGTATGTATACATATATGGTATGGCACATCCGACGTCCTGAAGCCCCCCCCCCCGGCCATGTGAGAGTGAGGTCCTTGCGAGGACCTCACAATCACATGGCCGGGATAGCTGGCTTCTGTATTGCCAGCAGGGGGGCTGCCTGTAATGACAGGTGGTCCCCCTGCTGGCTGAAAATAAAATAAATTAAGTTAATAAGTGTAAAAAAAAAAATGATATACTTGGATCATATATATATTATATATATATGATCTAAGTATATATATACACATACACATACACACACATACACTGTCTAGGTGTATTTTACTATTAATATATAGTGATGTACCGAACGGTTCCCGGCGAACATAGCATGTTCGCGTTCGCCACGGCGGGCGAACATATGCGCGGTTCGACCCGCCCCCTATTCGTCATCATTGAGTAAACTTTGACCCTGTACCTCACAGTCAGCAGACACATTCCAGCCAATTAGCAGCACAGCCTCCCTAGCAGACCCTCCCACCTACTGGACAGCATCCATTTTAGATTCATTCTCAAGCTGCATGCTTAGTAAGAGGAGGGAAAGTGTAGCTGCTGTTCATAAGATAGGGAAAAGCATAGCTAGGTTAGGGATAAGGGTATGCTTTTTTTTTATTTTTTTTTCTATGTAATGTAAATGCACTTAGTTGTCTGCCACTGCTGCCAGCTTCTGTGTCAGGCTCACAGTGCATACTGTGCCCATTTCCCCAGTCAGTGCCACCAATTACATCTGGTGTCACAATAGCTTGGATTTAAAAACAAAAAACTTTTTTCACTGTTATAGATTGAATAGCAGTCAGTTGTCTGCCACTGCTGCCAGCTTCTGTGTCAGGCTCACAGTGCATACTGTGCCCATTTCCCAGTCAGTGCCACCAATTACATCTGAATTGTCACAG